GGGCTATTTTGATTATTATGTTTAGCCAACAACACACAAGTCTGCTTCTTCTTGTTTCGTCTGGAGAGGAGACTCCAACAGCAAAGCAAAACTGCATCCTCCTACACCAGTGATCATGGTTAATATCAACATGAAAAAAAGGGGAGGGGTCTTGTTTGTTCCTCCAGCTAACTACTTGTAGTTTTTTTTTTAAATTTCTTTTGTTGTTTTTTCTTTTTTTCCTTCTTTCTTCTCTTTTCTTATCATTTTTCCTTTCTCTTCTCCCTTTCCGTCTTTGTATGTGTTGCATATGATGTTTTTATAGCCTCTTCTAATAAAGCTTCATACACAATTATTAAGTGGAACCTTATGCTAGCAGCCATGATGTTCCACTAGCACAAGCTAATCTGTTGGGCTTTATGCAGCACAAAGACAATTCTCAGGGCTATATTGTCAAAAAGAACATAAAAAAAGTGGCCTCTAGATGGAGACACATGGTTTGTTGTCGAGAGTTCCTCTAACTGGAAGCATCTGTCTCTATACCCACACAGACAATCCAGAACCGTCCGAACTAAAGAGGATCTCTGAGATTCTCACATGACTTAAGAACTAAGCTGTATTTTATGTATGATACTGATTCTATAGTTTCCCTTTAATGACTTACTCTGTTGTTTTAAACTGTTTTTTATCAGTAGTTTTTATTTTGGGACCTCAGGAAGACCAAAGGTCGTTAATATGACAGCTAATGTGGATCCAAACAAAACAATCAAACTACTAATTATTTACCATAGGGTCTCTGAATTTCTATTATTGAGTATTTCTTAAAGCAGCAGATAAACAGACTACTTTGTTATTTGAATAACTTGTTTCTTTATTATTTTCTGTCACATTTAAGTGGAAACACACAGAGTTGATTTTGAGGAGAAGCTCTGGTTCCCAGCAGAAATCCTAAACTCTGTTCTGACCACAGATCAGTTGATCTTTCACCTTCATTTTTTCTAAAAATCTGACTGAATGTGGAGATTGGAGGGAAATCTACTGGATCTGATCCATCAGCAGCTCTGCTTCCTCATGTTGGTTTCCCCGGTAACAGGACAGGTTGTTTACTTCTGTTTGGAGAGTTTGAGCGTTTATCTGCTGGATGTTTACTTGTAGAGAATCTCTGAGCTACAACAGAACTTTTTAGAGAAGTTTCTGAAGTTCAGCTCCAATATGTTTTTATCGCTCAGGACTGTTGGTACCAAGTTCAGCCCAGTTAGGAACGACTGCAGGAATTTGTTTATAAAAACACCCTCTGCAGAGATCTCTGCCTGTGCTGATCTCTGTGATAAATGGCTTTCTGGGAAACGTGTTTACTGTTTAGTAAAGACAAAGCTAATAATATGAACTGCATGGTAACATGCCTGAGCTTTTGTTACAACTAGCTTTGTTTCATTAATGGTTTAAACACTCCTATAATGTTAAAGTCAATGTGATTTCTCACATGCTCATTTTGATTACCAAATAATGATCAAAAGTATTATTATGGGAATCCTCGTGTTTGCTACTAGCTCAATGAAAGAGGGAACTAAACCAAGCTAACTAAAGCCATGAAAAAAACGATCTAGAAATGAGTAAAAATGGCTTAAATTAAGTGCATTTACCCTTAATTTGAGTCGGTAAATGAGATAGTTTGCTAATGGAATGAGTGGTTTTAGTCTTAAAATAAGATAATTAGATAATATGCACTTGAAATACGACAATGCAATTCTGTTTTCTAACTTTAAATGTAAATTGTCTTGTTCCATTGGCAAAATGTCTCTTTAACCTCCTCAATCCAAGAACAATTGCACTTATTTTCAGAGATGGCAAAAGTACTCACTTTCCGTACTTGAGTAAAAGTACAGATACTTGTGTTAAAAAATACTC